AAAAAAAAAAAAAAAAAGAAGCATCTCCATGGTTCCCAGAGTGTCCACCTTCCTTCTAGTTTCCAGAGCCTTCTGCGATATGCACCCATGTGTATGTGTATGTGTACTGGCGGGAGAAGGCTGACACAGAAGTTGATACCAACCTACTGTTGGCAGATTCAAGAATATAAATTCGTCCCACTTCAGAGGCTGAAGTAAGAGGAAGTATGGAAGAGTAACATCATGGCAAGGTCAGCAAGAACTCAAATATGGCTGGTCCTTTCTAGGCCCTGAATAGCTTCTATGTGTGTTTTGAATGACCACATCAAACTGGCTGCAAGTCCAATGTGCTATCATACAACAGGTGTCACAGGCACAGCTCTTACCACCGTGCTTTTTTAAATATATTTCATGTCATTCTTCCTTTCTGTGCAATGTATCCCTTCTCCTCTCAAATGTAATCCCCATAGAATCCTCACCAAGTCACCTGTGCACCATCACCACAGTCCTTGTGCTCTTCCCTTCCATTTGATCCTCTCCCTCCCCCTCCCTAGTTGCCTGCTAATTTCTTTTTTTACTTTATGAAAATTATTTTCTTCCTGATCCCTTATTTGTTTCTATGTATTCCTTCTACATGTGGAAACCACCACTTTTTTTCTTTCTCAGTTATTTCACTGAGCATAAACGATTGTATTTTAAATCTAAATTCATATCCTGGTTCATAAAACTTACAATCTCAAATAAAATCAAACAATCTAAATTTAAACTGCAAAGTTTTCCACAGCTTTATTGCAAGTGTAATTAAATCAGCATCAGTAGAATAACTGCCTGAGAGTAAATTATCAAAGTCAAAATCTTGAACACAATCAGATTTTTTTATAGAGACCCTGTCCAGAAAACATCTATCGTGCAGAATTATCCACAGTAATGATTTACTGAGATCACATTACCAAAAACCTTAAGGACATCAAAAATGAGCCTTACACATGATACCCTCTGTGAAATGAGCCTTACACATGATACCCTCTGTGGGATGAAACCAATAAAATACCACTAACTTGTCAGACTCATAGTTACTGTGATAAGAGAAGAAAAGGTCACATTAAAGTTCATAGGATTGAAATGCAGGTATTTGGAATCTGCTGTAAAACACAATAGCAGGCCTTCCCTGGTGGTACAGTTGGTTAAAGCACAGCACTAAGAAGCTAAAGCCACTTCCACGAGTTTGATCCCCACCTGCCCCGGAGGAGATCCACATGGCGCGGCAGACCTCTCCTGACCC